AGACCCATGTTCCTTAGTACCCTGGGTAAACCATCCTTTGCTTGAAGCTACAATTATGTTACCATTGCTGCTGAACACAAGCAAACCTTCTCTCCCCATGCCTTGAGCAGCTTGCTCCTGCTTCTGCACATCCCTTTCATCACATCAGCACAACTCCTGCCGCAGCTGGTAACGAACTGGCTATCTGGATTACTGCTACTCTGGCTCAAAAAAGACTTGAATCTATCTGGATTTATTCCTGAACCAGATCATTGCACAGCTGTATGGACATCTGTGGAGGCACAAAGGCGGTGGGAGGGAGGAGTGAATAACCAGAGGTGGATTGCAGGAGAGACTGCAAAGCTGCGTACGTGCAGCCATAGGATCTGAAGTTGTACAACTCTGCAAGACATCTCCCTTGAGTTTGGGTCACCCTTGATCGTCTGGAATTACACCAGATTACAATTCATGTTACACATGAAACAAGTCTTGTCACCTTAGGACACTATTTCCAGCCACACCCTTTCGCCTTGACAATGTGCATACATCAAGACCGTTCCAGAACTTGTGAAGCCACACACCGCAGCAGATTTTTGTAACAAAACTACAAGAAGAAGACCCTGAGACACAAAATGAGGAGCGTAACCTGAAAAGCCCCAAAAAAGTGAACATATTTGCCTACCCTAGTCTTATACTCCTCCTGTTACTGGCCACTGCTGCAGACAGGATCCGTGGCTAGGAAGACTTCTCTTTGGACATGGTTGCTCTTCTCTTGTGCTTACTTAACGTGGTCTGATCATATTTAACGTGGTCTGATCACAGAAGAGAGATTTTGACATGGTCCTTAATCTTAAGTTAAGGTGCTATTGCTTGGTACTTCAACCTGTACTTACAAATTACACAATAATTTATACTTTTTATTTAAAAAATTCGAACTATAAAATGATTCTGTACTTTGGCCTGAAGATTTTAACGCTTATTGCATGACTTTGAATAAATGAATACTGGTAACTCAGCAGGGAGCTGCCTGGAGAACAAGATAGGAAAATATGATTCAACACAGAAACCTTCCAGCAAAAAATTCAGAGCTCTGAGGCGACAGTGCCAGAATGTCATTTTTAATAATCTGATGGTTCCAGCTCTCTTCCAGTTGTTCTAAAACCCTGAGTTTTTATCACATAGGAAAAAGTCTGACACCATAGAAAAAAAAAAAGCCTGCTTGAAGAATTTAAAGTGACTGCTGAAGAGAAAGGCAGTAGGAGTTTGGGGAAGACAGATACAGGAACCTGCTGGGACATCAGGAGCTCTGCCTGGCCCACCAGAAGTGGGGAGACTATGGGCATCATAGACAAGCATGACAAGAGCTGGATGTTCGCATATGTTTTTTTCCTAGTAGCTCTTTTCTACTGGTAAACAGAGGAAGCCTGTGTTTTTAGACTGCTGGCTGGGTAGCTTTTCGAAAGGAGAGAACAGCAGGTGTCTGATCCCATTTGGAGCGGATAAATCTGCTGGCAGAGACGATGCTGGAGCCCTGACTGGAAGAACTCTAGACGCCAGGCCTGTAAAAGTGCAGGTAAAAGGTCTACCCTTAAGAGTTTGTATATAGAGACATGGAAAGGTAAAAGAGACATTCAGCCCTGCAATTATGACAGCAGTATCTGGCAAACAAAATCTGCAGCCATGCGAACACTGATAAATGTATTCTGATGAGAGAAGCCCTGCTGGACCTCATAGGACTATTTTCAGATGCTCTTGTACAAGAGTTGCTTTGTAAGCAAGTTACTTGTGCTTTAATCTTTCCGGGCTCAATCTTCAAATATAAAGCCAAGCACTAATGGGGCTGAGAAAGATCTCAACATAGGGAGTAAGTTTATTGTATTCACAGGTCACTAATTGCTGCTGCTGTGGCCACAGAAAGACTGCATAATATTCTGTAGACTTCCCTCACCATAAGCTGTGCTATATGTGCACATCTATCCATGTTGGAGTACCATGTCGTGTTTTAAAACTGAAATATCTCATCTCTCCTGCCTGATCAACAGCATTTCGGTTGGACTTGATGATCTTTGAGGTCTCTTCCAACCATAATGATTCTATGATTCTATGATTCTATGATTAAATGTGACAGTTTGGATGAAAAGGTAATTGCTGCAGCAAACATTCAACCCAGCTCCCTGTCACCCAAAGAGTCGGGCTGGGAGGCACGGCACTCCGGAGGACAGGTTTAGAAAGATTTTGGTTCACTGGAGAGATGACCCAAAACCAACAGGACAGAGTTCACAGCAGGACATGTAGTAAGGAGAAATGCTAAGCACAATTATAGAGCGGCATGTATCTGGTGGGGTAATTGTGTCAAGGAAAAAATTCACGGGCAAAAGATGACAAAATTAACTACAGTGACCAGACTACTCAGATAATGCCAAAAAAGGTGAAGGCACGCTGGAAGGTGTTGGCAAAAGCTAAAATCTAACTGCTCCAGTCTCCTCAAAACTGCCAGTCCTCCGTGGCGAAGTGGTTCCCACTCTTCTGTGGTGCATTTCAGGAGAAACGTAGCCAAACGGGAGTCTCCAGAGTGGGACAACCTGGACAGAACAGCACGAACTACAAGCAAGAAAACCACCAGGCTGAACGCGATCCCAGCTTTCTACCGTGAAAAGGCAACTACAGAGAGGATGACATTGGCAAAGGTTATATACTATGGGAAAAACACTTTTTACTTATGTCAGAGTTAAGTGCTGGAATGGGTTATGTAGGGCAGCTTTATTGCAGCTTTAAAATAAAACATAATCAGTCAACAAACAGGATTATACGATAAGGCTTCCTGTGAGAGCAAAGCAAAACTGAATGGCTTGGATATCCTCTCATGTTCTCCTTAAACCATCAGTGAAATATATTTACATGGGTGTAATTTTGTTTCAAAAACCTTTCCATACAAATAATATTAGGTTAGAAGAATCAGCTTTTCAGATTGCCAGTGCAGCTTATGATAACAAAAATGGGAAGAGCTAGAAATTCAAACTTAGATCTTCATTCCTGAGCTCCCGAAATGTGCAGGTCCCAATGATTTTAGCAGAAAGTGTTGGCATCCTACCCTGAACTATGTGTCTTGCAGGCCAGCTCCTCATGTACATAATATGCTTCAGGAGAGAAAATACATACTGCAAGACAATAAGAGTCAGATTGACAAAAAAAGCATAATATGTATGGCTCTCATTTTAACATCATCACTTTACATGATATACTAACTGTTTTCTTTTTGCAACAAAACCCACTCTTTTTTAATCAACAACCTTGATTGAAACCAAGTCTGAGGCTAGGCTGAAATTCACTGCACATCTTCAGGGAAACAAACTCCTCGCCATAGGAAATTCAGTGTACTAAGAGTACGACAGTTTGCCCTTTCCTGCAGAAGCCACTGGCTGGAATCCAGAACAGCTCCAAGCCCAAGTTCAGCAGCAAAACTGTCAGACTACGAGAAAAGATGTTCTTACCACATTGGTAAAATACCGTGGGTTTAAAACATGTGAAAGAAGTGAGTTACAGGAAAGGAAATTCTCCAACAGCAACAACTGCAGAAAGAGTCCAGTTTCCTGAGGATAACATCAGGGATGGAAAATAAAAGAAGCAAAGCTCCCAAATATTGTTTTAACTTCTTGCAAGGTAAAGGCAGACTGAAGGCAAAGATGCAGTGCCTGTACAACAGGAATTCCTGCATGAATTTTGATTAGCTGAGGACCAGCAGTGTGCTCTGCCCTGCCTGACAGTGCTCACACCTGGAGACAGAGTCCGGGCTCTCTTATCTCTGCTACCTTTTACTCTTGCCCAGAAGAAATAAGTGTCCTTCCCCTGTACAAAGAGCAATTCCCTCTCTGGTTTCCTCGTACACACTGAGGAGGAGGAGGGGATACGATCAAGGCTTGACCAGATGAACGACTTCACCACAGCCCAGCAGATCCAGAAGCTGGGTATCAAGGAAAAGAACACAATTACCTGGGATAGACACAAGCCAAAAAGCAATCCTGAGGAGCAGCTCATGTGAAAGAATACAGTGGCTTTATTAGAAATTTTGACGACAAGCAGGATGCAAGGGCATTTGCCAAGATAATCTTATCCATAATATGTTACTCATTATCTGTCCGCACAGCCCTTACATCATTGAAGTCTGTCTCAGGGTCCCCCTGTGACCTTGAGTCAGTCAGTAGAACTTGCCTCAGTTTCCCCACCTACCATACTACTCGCGGCTGAAACTGCAGTTAAACCTGATGCTTGTGAAATGCTTTTAAAATGGTATTATTCCTTTCCTCTACTTTGCATATTTCTACAGAAAAAACTAAAATGTTTAACTGCCTAAATTTCAAGGACAAAAAAATTAAAAGCTTGCAAAGAAAACTGAACCCTACCATTGAATTTTCAGGCTAGGACTAAAATGTATTTCAGAATGCTAATGAGGGCTTATCTAAACATTAATCATTAAAAAGAATTATGCAGAACAGGACCTTCCAACACGGTACAGAGTGTTTAATGTTGCATGAATTTACACAGTAACTGTTCTGAGCAGCGAGGAAGGCACTGATGCAGAGCATCATCTCCTATGAAAATTATTCTTGTGGGGTGGTTTGTGGAAGTGCATACAAAAGTTCAAAATCAGCACAACGTATCCAAAATCCAACAATTACTCAAACACCAACACCACAGAAGGCACTCCGTGCTCCGGAGATGGCAGATGGGGAGGGGTGCAGCCATAAGTTCAGAGAGCTCTTTGGAGCTAAGCTGCACAGACTGTACAGTACTGTTTGAGAACAAACCCACTCTGTTCACTGTTTATAGGAAGAAGGCAAAGCTATTCTCCACTCCCCAGCTCATCATCAAATGTACACACACGAAGCTGCTTTCTGGTCCATCTTTTGATGAGGGATCGAGTTTTAGATGTTTCGGACCACCTACATAAACATAGACTGTCAATACAAAAGAAACATTCACATGAAATTGAAAAAAGGGGCTAGAACAGTCTCTTCACTCACCGTGGTCTCCTGAAAGCCAAACCATACTGCTGACAAGCCAGGCCAACCGTTGGGGTGTAAACGATGGGCATGAATCTCTCGATGTCGGAGGTCAGCACTCGGTAAAAAAGCTTCTCATTCCTGTCTTGTAATGTCATAAGAACAATATACCTTAAAAGTAAAATAAAATAGATATATGTCAGTATTGATGGTTGTTGGCAGTTTCATAAAAAGCAGGAGTCGGCTCACTCAGTATGCACTCAGTTCTCGCAAGCCCTGACACTCCTCAGTGCTACATCATGAGCAGATACTTGGAGCAGAATTTCCCAGAGGACCTGGCCAGCTCCACCATCCTCACTGACAGCTCACAAAGACTCAGTAGGGCTGGAAGGCAGATCCATGCATATCCTCAGAATTTTGGAATTTGCATGAAACCCAAATGCAACAGAATAGGTCAAAAGTAGACTTCAGGGCTACCTGAGACAACACGGGACATCATCTTTGTTACCAGAATTTCTTAGGTAATCTAGAAAATGAAATATGCATATATGCAAATGTTAATATGCACATTTCAAAGCACTTTCTTAAAATATTTCCACAAAACCTCTCTCTCCATTATCCTGCATTCTCAATTACTTAATCACTAAAACCAGAAGGATAGCTGAATTCCATCTTTGAAAAAAAAGAGACACACTCATTAATTTAGAAAACGAAAATGTTAAATCAACTTTTGAATTCTTAGTCTTGTCCAGACTTACATGTGCATCACTGGTTTTATATGACCACTTAGTGACTTAGAATACGTTGCGTTTCTCCAAAGATTTTTCTTTCTTGAAAATGCTTCATTGGCTAAGATTGAGTTTACCAAATTGAAGCCAGAAAAATGAAAAACTCAGAAAAATAAAGAGATTGCAAATGATTTTCTGTCTGAGAAACTTGTACGAACATAATGACAAACTCCCTGTTGTGTTCAGCACCTAATCTTGCAGTGTGGCTTCAAAAAGGCATCACACACTGCCAATAATATATAATTTGCAAGATCGACACAGGCATTTGTGACAGAGAAGCCAATACAATCACTCTACGAGGAAGAGTCCTGCTGCCTCAGTCCCCAGATGAATGGCAGCTGAGACAGATGAGGATGCAAACCCTACCGTCCGTCACAACAGGAGTCGAACATCACTTTCCATCAATAACCCTGATGAACAATACTGGACGCAATGGAAGCTCAAGAACAGAAAGATTAGTCACTACACATCATTGCTTCCGTTTTTCTTATTTTTTTTCTTACCAGTTGGCAGATTCTTTCTGTTCTTCCATCCTGTATTTTAGAGAATGTATTGATGAGCATACAGATAGGTACATGCAGTACATGTGTTCGCTTTGCCTCCAGTGCTCTGGGGCAGGGACTGCCTTTTTGCTGTGCATTTGTACCCAAAGTATAGTGAATTGCTAGGCTAATATCAGAGCTCTCCAGCAATGCGGTGGCAGAAAAAAGCAGTACCAGTGCTATTTTGGGATTGGGATGGCATGTAACTGAGGTGAAGGTAGACTGGCCAGAATAAACACTCCTGATGCTGGAGAGTATGGACAGCTGGAAAAAAGTGACTCTCAGGGAAACTTGTGTGCCTTGAAGCAGGATCCTCAGGTCTTCCTGGGGGCTTTAAAAACCTGAAAATTAAAGGAGGAGGGAGGAGGAAATAAGATGTTGTTGACATACTTGTCTAAATCGTTAGATTTGTTCTCGTAGTTTTTCATCACACGGAGGACTTGAACGTCTTGGCTCAAGAAGCAAGGAGGAAGGAGACCATGAATTCCCAGTTGCAGCCTCTCTTCAAGGGTAAAAGCCATTCCCTGGGAAGAAAAGAGGAAGGCACGTTCAAATGGCATGATATGCACTACCAGATAGGATATCCAAGAGGAAAGCAAGCAAGAGCATGCAGCCCCCAAGGGCCTGAAGGCAGTCCTCCCCTGTAGGGACCACGGGATTCGGACCACCCAGACCCTACAGCTTCTGGATTAGCAGTCCCAGCACTGGCAGGGCTTTGATGATTCACACTCTTTTGCCTTTTGAATTTGGTTGGTCTCTACAGCATACACAACTTTATAGTGTGGATATTCTTAGGCTTTCTTTCACTTTACGCTTGTCTTATATTACTTAATTAGCTCATGCCTACTAGTTTCAGTGGCCTTCCTGAAAGCCCAGCTCTGACAATCCTTTACAAATTGCATAACAGGTTTAGAATCATAGAATTATAGAACCACTTAGGTTGGAAAGGACCCTTAAGATCATTGAGTCCAACCGTAAACCTAGCACGGCGAAGCCACCACTAAACCATGTCCCCAAGCACCATGTCTACTTATCTTTTAAATACCTTCAGGGATGGGGAC